ACTGTACTTCATTCCTTTCAACACATGGGCGCTGATTTGATTTCTTCAACAATTCTATTTGATATAGGTCCCATGTACACTGCTTCTATTATGGAAGCTACTAAAAATGGAAGAAACTAAGGATTGTACAGGAAAGGAAATGTAATTTATTCACACAAATCTGGGGACCTTTTGTCTGTGGTTTTTGCTTCCCAGACAGAGAACAACATTCCTAGAATACAAGTGTTTTGTTTTTTACTCTGAATCCTCTTTGGAACATCAAGGTCAGAGGGGTCTGGTTCTGGGATACTGCTGAAGAACTGAAATCAACCTCCTGAGTCAAGTTTGTACGTTTGGGTAGGCTGTGAATGGTGTGAAGGAAAGTCATTTATCAAAAGGAAGGGCAAATGCAAAGAGATTCCCCCCCCCTTTATTGACCATATGCTCCAATTTTAAATATATATATTTTAAACATGCTCCTCTTGAACATAATTTGTTTAATGCCTGAATCTTGCCCACAGGAAAGGGAACTGTTAGATTTCACATGAAATATAGTCCTTTATGAAATGTTATGTTGAAACAAGGTTCTGTTTCATTCATCACAGGCCCCGGTCACACGGGCCGGATACCACGGGGGGGGGAGGCGTGGCTGTTTGCCCCACAGTGAAATAACGTGCGACTGCGCGATCAGGCGTCCCCTCGCGGTCCCGTCGAGGTCCCTTGGTTAGGGGGGAGGTGCCGATCACACGACGCGCCAAAGAAGTGGCGCGGCACGGCAAACGGCTGTCTCCTTGATTTGGAAGACAACTTCATTTGACACATTATTGCAACTCATACAACTCTACACAATGAACAGTGAGTGTGAATCCAGGAGAAGACGCGTCCGTCACCATTTATTTGGCTTCTTCCAGCCTCTTCTCTGTGCATAAATGAGCATGCACTTCTTCTCCTGACCCCTTTTACATCTCTGATTTTACATCTGTACACACTGCATGAACACAGAAGCACTGGAATATTCCGCACAGGAATACATGACGTTTCTTCTTGTGAATGTTGATCGGGTGAAAGAGGAGTGGATGACCTGCTAAAGGGTATTCTATACTCTCTTCCTCTCAATCACTCTCCGAGCCCAAGTTGGCTTTGTTCTTTAAAGCCCTACATGGCTTGGAGCGAGGGTGTCTTCTCCAACATGATCCTGGGCAGGAATTAAGATCACAGGGAGAGGCCCTCCTGACCCCCACCAATCAAGGAAGCTCGTCTGGCAGTGAGCACATGAGAGAGGGCCTTTTCAGTGGCAGCCCCACAACTATGGAAAATCTTCACTATCAATCTATAGGAAGCAGTTGGATGCAGTTTTATTTAGGATTCGTTTTATTTATTTATTTGTTTGTTTGTTTTTATAGCTCCCCATCCCACAAGCAGGATCAGGGCGGGTTAGTAGTGTTCCCTCTAAGCTGAGTTAGTGTGAGCTAGCTCACTGTTTTTCAGCCTCTGGCTCACACATTTTTGTCTTAGCTCAGGAAGGAGGGCTCCAGAGCAGACTAATTTATGCGGTAGCCAAATTGCTTGCTCACAACTTTAATGTCAGCAGCTCACAAAGTAGATTTTTTGCTCACAGGGTTCCACAGCTTAGAGGGAACATTCATATTAGTAATACAATATATACAATAAATACAATACAAGTGTGCAGTCACTAATCTGGGAGAACCAGGTTTGATTCCCCACTCCTCCACTTGCACGTGCTGGATGACGTTGGGCAAGTTGCCCCCCCTGTCAGAATAATGAGACAGGCAACAGTTTTGGAAGTAAACAAGGGCCACTTTATTAACTATTTAACATAACATTGTGGCGAGGGACCAGCTAAGCAAGCACAGAACAGGCAAGGCAGGTGTCACTCCCCTGACCAACCTCCTTGCCCTTTTCTCGGGCGGGTCACCCAGCTCCGGTCCTGAGCTGTTCTTGAAAAAGAGCCGTTTCTGTCAAGAGCTCTCTCAGCCCCACCTACCTCACAGGGTGTCTGTTGTAGGGAGGGGGAGGGAAAGGAGATTGTAAGCCGCTCTGAGACTCCTTTGGGTAGTGAAGGGCGGGGTATAAATCCAATCTCTTCTTCTTCTTCTTTTACCTCACAGGGTGTCTGTTGTGCGGAGGGGAAGGGAAAGGGAGTTTGTAAGCCGCTCTGAGACTCCTTTGGGTAGTGAAGGGCGGGGTATAAATCCAATCTCTTCTTCTTCTACATACGTGGGCGCCCGCTGCCTCAGCCAAAACCCTGGTGGAAGAGCTCCATCTCGCAGGCCCTGTGGAGTTGAAGAAGATCCCGCAGGGCCCTAATCTCCACAGGGAGCCTGTTCCACCAGGCAGGGGCCTTTAATTATTGAGATTTAAAATTGTGGTCCTTTATGTATTTTTACAATACTTGTTTTATTCACATTATAA